GTGGAGGTTCCTCAAAAAATTAAAAATAGATCTACCCTACGACCCAGAAATATCACTGCTAAGAATTTACCCAAGGGATCCAGGAGTGCTGATGCATAGGGGCACTTGTACCCCAATGTTTAGAGCAGTACTTTCAACAATGGCCAAATTATGGAAAGAGCTTAAATGTCCATCAACTGACAAATGGATAAAGAAATTGTGGTTTATATACACAATGGAGTACTACGTGGCAATGAGAAAGAATGAAATATGGCCTTTTGTAGCAACGTGGAAGGAACTGGAGAGTGTGATGCTAAGTGAAATAAGTCATACAGAGAAAGACAGATACCATATGTTTTCACTCTTATGTGGATACTGAGAAACTTAACAGAAGACTATGGGGGAGGGGAAGGGAAAAAAAAGTTACAGAGAGGGAGGGAGACAAACCATCAGAGACTCTTAAAAACTGAGAATAAACTGAGTGTTGATGGGGGATGGGAGGGAGGGGAGGGTGGGTGATGGGTGTTGAGGAGGGCACCTGTTGGGATGAGCACGGGGTGTTGTTGTCACATAAATGGAATTATTTTATTTTGTTTTCAGATTGTTTACTCTTCATATATAAAAATGCAGTTGAGTTCTTGAGGGTTGGCTTTGTATCCAGTTACTTGGCTGAATTGATTTATTAGTGGTATTAGTCCTTTTGTGGCATCTTTAGGATTTTCTACATATAAGATCACATCATCCACATACATAAATTTCTTTCTTTCTTTCCAGTTTGGATACCTTTTATTTCTTTTTCTTTCTTTAACTGCTCTGGCCAGAACTTGCAATGTTATGTTGAGTAGAAGATGTGAAAGTGGGCACCCTTTCCTTATTCCTGATCATACAGAAAAATGCACACTGTATCACCCTTGAGTATCATGCTTGGTGTGGGTTTTTCACTAATGGCTTGATGTTGAGATAAGCCCTTCTATTCCCACATTTTAGTGTTTTTATCATGTTCCATACAGAAATATAAAAAATTAATTTCTTGAGTGCAGAATATAAACAATAATGTACCAGCCAGGTTAGTAATGCATGATTGTGTCATGTTCTTCTTATTTTGATAGTCACATCAACCATACGGAACTAGGCAACGATACACGAAGTTCAGAATTTCTTCTTCTGGGACTTTCAGAGGAACCGGAATTGCAACCCTTCCTCTTTGGGCTGTTCCTGTCCATGTACTTGGTCACCATACTTGGGAATCTGCTCATCATCCTGGCTGTAAACTCTGACTCCCACCTCCACACGCCCATGTACTTCTTCCTCGCCAACCTGTCCTTTGTAGACATCTGTGTCACTTCCACCACAGTCCCCAAGATGCTGGCGAATATACAAACACAGAGAAAGGTCATAACTTATGAAAGCTGTATCACGCAGATATACTTTTTCATACTCTTTGTAGTTTTGGACAATTTCCTCCTGACTGTGATGGCATATGACCGCTTTGTAGCCATCTGTCACCCACTGTGCTACACAGTTATCATGAACCCCAAGTTCTGTGGGCTGCTGGTTCTGGTGTCCTGGATCGTGAGTGTCCTGAATTCCTTGTTACAAACCTTAATGGTGTTGCAGCTGTCCTTCTGTACAGGCATGGAAATCCCCCACTTTTTCTGTGAACTCAGTCAGATGATCCAACTTGCCTGTTCTGACACCTTTCTTAATGACATGGTAACGTGTTTTACAACTGTGCTGTTGGGCGGTGCTCCCCTGGCTGGGGTCCTTTACTCTTATTCTAAGATAGTTTCCTCCATATGTGGGATCTCATCAGCTCAGGGCAAGTATAAAGCATTTTCCACCTGTGCGTCTCACCTCTCCGTTGTCTCTCTATTTTATTGTACTGGCCTGGGAGTGTACCTTAGCTCTGCTGCTACCCAGAGCTCACACTCAAGTGCCACAGCCTCGGTGATGTACACGGTGGTCACGCCCATGCTGAACCCCTTCATCTACAGCCTGAGGAACAGAGACATAAAGGAGGCTCTAAATGTATTTTTCAGAGGGAGGCCATAAAAAGGCCATTTCTTAAGAAGTACCAGTCATTGCAGGCTTAATGCTTAATAGCCTGAATTTGTGATTTTTTAACCAGATCATGAAAGAAGAACTTAATGCCTCTATTTATATCCTAGAGTTTCAGTTTTTCTAACATTCAACTGCTTTATTGAATTTAAATAAGTCCCTGTGGTTAACTCTCTGCTCCTGATACCCAATAGTTTTTCCTTTTTTTCTCCCTAGTTTCCAAAGTTAGTCCCAACCTTGAATCAGAACAATTGGGAAATTCCCATTTGCCTCATATAGTGATGAATGGTCCTAGTTTTATGGAATAAACTACATTTGGCAACTGAGGCCATGTATATAATTTTATTGTAGAGGAAATTGTGAGATCACAGGGTTTTTTTTTTTTTTTTTTTTCACTCTGTGTCTGCCATTCCTTTATAGATTCTACCTTAAATGCCCTTCCGGATAATGTAGACATTAACATACTAGTTTGTTTTGTCACTAGTCGTGGGGTTTTGGGATCCTCGTTAGGATCCTGTTCTCTTATCAGCTCAGCATCCACAGTATCCCTGGCACAGAATAGTAAGGCAAAAATTCCTTATGAAAAACATGCTCTGCTCCAAGTGTAAACTACAGAAAGACAAATTTGCATAAACCAAGTGACCAATATGGGGTTACTATCCGAGAAGACCTGAAAAAAATGATGACATAAAACTTTCAATCACGCTGTATTTTATTGCACAAAATCTGTTTTTGATGATGTATAACTACTTATTGAGGTGTGGGATATTTGGTGTCCATGTTTAAAGGGATTTATTAATTGGAGCGAAGAATTTAGTGGCAGATTTTATACTATTTCATTGGATGATACTGCTGTTTCTATTTGAAAATTTCTAGTGCTGCCTACAAATACTATGATTTCCATTGCCCTAAACTTAATATCTCCCCCTTTAAAAATGATGTCCTAAAAATGATAGAGTGAGTGAACAATATGTGTATGCACTCTCTCATTACGTTCTTTCACTTTTTTATGCTCTGAAATCTCTTCAATCCTCATGATCAAAGGATGACTCAGACAAGAGCTTGAATTCATGCCCAGCGATGTTCTGGGAATGGAGACTTGTGCCTGAGAGTCCTACAAGTTATCCGTGCAAAAACATACAGGTCTTTCCAATCTCTACCTGGAAGAGAAACTCAGTGATAGTACCTTTTTAATACAGTTACCTAAAATTAATTTGACTAACCAGGTCATTATGAATGCTCCCATCAAATATCAGAACAAATGTCAAAAAAGAAGCAGCAGTAGGTTATTCTTAATATTCTCAGTACTATTTACATTGATTATTGTGTCAGTAAGCTATATGCTTACTGCATGACAAGCCATGCCAAAAGTAAATGTTTTAAGCTAATGCTTTAAACATTTTTTTAAATATGAAATTTATTGTCAAATTGGTTTCCATACAACACCCAGGGCTCATCCCAACAGGTGCCCTCCTCAATGC